AAAAAAAAAAAAAAAAAAAAAAAAAAAAAAAAAAAGGAAAGACAGAAAGTTGAATAGAAATTGTGTATAAGATAATGTAATAATATTTCCTAGGTACAATCTGTTAAACTAAACCTTAGAGAAAATACAAGGTAGTCATCATATAATACATGACATTACTACTATAAGCACACTTTTGGTTTTTAATGTGTCTTTGTAGTTGATACAAAGAAATAGCAAATACATAACAAAACATCATTGAATTAATGTGTGTAGCATCCAGTACAATATGATTAAGAAATCCCTCTTAAAACTATGATGCCCAAGCTTAGTATAGAGAAATCTTTACACAGAGGTTTCTCTCTAGACTCTTCATGGATGAAGATCTCATTAGTTGTTTTTACCACAGATGTGTGACAAATAACAGTATACATAAAAAGCCAACAAACATTTAAATTAGCATTCTGACCTCTAACAGGCCTGGTTAGCTTACTACTTATCTTTGGGGTATTTTACAGCCCGCCCCCCCTTTAGCTAAACTCTACTTTGTGTGACTGTCTCCTAAGCATTGGTAAATCCTCATCAATTCTTCTCTTTTACATCACAACTTAGTAATGGAGTACATGAGATGCCAATTATAACTTTCACAAAATTAACTGCGAATAGACCTTGCACCTAAATGTCAAATGGGAAGTCCGGAACTTCTAGAAGATACTTGAAAAACTAGGCCTCTCCAAGTTTGGCTATCTGCCTAGGCCTTGGGAGGTTTGTCTAAGGCCTGATGTATAGAGCAAAAACAGAACTCCATCTCAAAAACAAGTAAAATGCTTGAGAGATCTGGAAAAGATCTGGAGACAGGGCCTTTGGGAAGGGGTTGCTTCAGATCCTGAGAAATCAACTCCTGCCACATATGTTGCTGTGGCTATCAGTCTCAACACTCCTGTGGCATTTGTTTATGTTCTTTAAAATACCCTGTGTTCCTCTTGTGCAACATTGTCTGATTAGTTTCCTTCTAAATTTGTATACTTCCTTTTAAAACTGAACCCATTGGTTTACTTTAACAAGAGACTTGCTGTTGAATTTGCCACAAATCTCCAGCTAACCTAGGATAGATCTGTGCTTCAGGTGGAAGCCAGGGCTGAGAACTACAGGGATATGTCCTTCAGCTTACCCTGTCTTGTCACTCAGGCCTCACTAGCCAATCAGAGCCTCCAGCGGAACCGCTAGTCAGATGGGAGGGTTCTTCCGGCACCAGGCTTCTAACTCAGCACTTCTGCTGAAGAAGTCGGAAGTTGTTTCCTGTGCTGCGGTGTGTTTTCAGCCGTGAGGACGTTGGAAGTTGGCTCCTGGGCTGCGGTGTGTTTTCCGTTGTGGAGAGAGCGAAGCCAACCTCGGCAGCCGCATCATGGTGAGTGAGAGGTTGATGTCCTCAGATGGGGAGGAGTGGCTGGCCATGTTCAGACTGGGAGGAGCGTACTGCTGAGCCGAGGGAACCCGTGTCCTTCCCCGGCTGGATGGGAGCTAGCGGCCAGAACCGCGTGTTCCTGCACGTCCTTCCTGGTCCTGCCTGGTAGTCCTTGCAACTCCTTGGGCCTGGGCAGCAGCTTCTTCATAACTTCACTCTAAGGACTGGGTCTGCAGATCACTGGGAGTGGGACTGCGCTTAGAAGTATCCTTGTGGAAGTCACTGTGAAATGCTGGGTCTTGGAGTGCTTGTATTATCATTGTGGAGGGCAGATTTGCTAAACTGGTAGAGCTCTGGTCTCTCTAGTATCTTCCAGAAGTTCTGTATTTTAAACATTTAGTTTTAGGATCTGTCTGGAGTAAAACTGTATCTCCTGTTCCGCTTGGTACTCCACTACTAAACTGTGATGTAGATTAGAATTGATGGTATAAGGATTTATCAATTCTTAGGAGACATTAAGTTACACAAAGTAGAATTTAGCTAGGGGAGGGCTTCCTCCCAAATACTCCAAAGATAAGTAGTATGCTAGCCATGCTTGTTAGAGATTACTAGGATAAGATGTAAATGTTCACCAAGATTAACCAGACATTAAGCCACATTCCCATAACAAAGGAGACCACCCTGATTTACAACCAGCTACAAGACCCATCCACCCATCAAAAAGTAGGCCTCTAACATGCTGCTCAAGGGGACATTATAGTGTCACAACCACCATTAAGTCCCGGTGTGCTTTAAAGGTATATTGTAGAACAGCTGCATCTCCAGCCTTTTTGAAAAATAGTTTTGAATGCTGGAGTGCTGGGCGGTGGTGGTGCACACCTTTAATCCCTGCACTTGAGAGACAGAGGCAGGCGGACCTCTGAATTCAAGGCCAGTCTGGCTTACAGAATGAGTTCCAGCACAGGCTACAAAGCAGAACCCTCTCTTGAAAAACAAAACAAAACAAAACAAAAAAGAAAAGTGGCTTTTAGTCAAAGTCTCAGATGTAGATTGAGGTGGACTTGAACCCTGGCTGTAGCCACATTGCTCTTGCTGTCCCCCTGACTGACAAACCTAAATTTTTGAATTACAGGTCTGCAGCACCACAGCATTCTAAACTTACCAGTTTGGGTTACATAGTAGACTGTCCATTGCAGTAACAGGAAAAAGAAAGAAAGATTTATGTGTGGAGCAGGGCTTCTCCCTGCAGATCACTAGAGGAGGAACAGTACTGTGTACACTGCAGGGGGAAACAGATTAGGCAACAGCTAGGACACAGATTGAAGTTTAAGGCAGTGAGCTGCAGGGGTCTCCATCATAAAGAAGGAGCCGATGGGGCACAGTGAGTGATTTTCTGTGTAATTTCCTGGCATGTATTAATTCCTTCCATGTGAATGAAGACACAGAATTGGTGGGTGTACAATTTAGGGAGTGTAGCTTGAACTACCAAGTATTCAGTTTGCAGTTAGAAAATTCTCCTGTGCAGATATGTGCAATACTGGTTGACACAGCTCATAGGTTTAAGACACAGGCCATTAGCTGCAAATCTGTGTCAGCTTAAAGCACTTAGCAGCTAACATTTTACAGGGACAAAGAATTAAAATGTCTTGTTATTGGCATTCTCTCAATCAGGGAAACACCTACTTTGTTTCAAAGTCAGTATAGCAAAGTGTTCTTCCAATTATTTTTATCATTTTAAAAAGTCAATTTTAAAATTTCATTTTCTTTAAGTGCATTACTGCTTTAATGTCTATTTGTTTCTATTTTCTAGTCATTAAGACTTTCATTCTATTTATTTCTTTTCTTTCTTTTTTTTTTTTTTCTTTTTGGTTTTTTTGAGACAAAGTTTCTCTGTGTAGTTTTGGTGCCTGTCCTGGATCTTGCTCTGTAGACCAGGCTGGTCTAGAATTTAGAGATCCGCCTGCCTCTGCCTTCCGAGTGCTGGGATTAAAGGCGTGGTCCACCAACGCCCGGCTCCATTTTTATCTTAAGTGATATTTATTTATATCAGTTTATATTAGTGGTTCTCAACTTGGAGGTTGCAGCTCCCTTTGGGGAAATCAAATTACCCTATCACAAGAGTGGCCTAAGACCATTGGAAAACACAAATATTTATATTACAGTTCATAATAGTAGCAAAATTATAGTCATGAAGTATCAGTGAAAATAGTTTTATGGTTGTGGTCTCACCACATCATGAGGAACTGTATTCAAGGGTCACAACATTAGGAAGGTTGAGAAACACTGGTTTAGATCAATGTCTCCTGTAGCTCAGGCCTGCCTCACAATATATAATTGAGAATTTCTTGAACACCTAATCCTGCCTGTGCTGCCCAGGGCTTGCAACTCCTTTCAGGCTGGTTTGTGAGAAGGAAAAGTTTACTAGTGAATTAGTATCCTCCAACTCCTCTAGATTTTATTGGGAATTTACAAATGAAGAGTAAGAATTGAGTTCACTGACCAACTTTAAAGCAGTTGTAGTCACAGCAAAGAAAGGAAAGGTCAAGATGAAGGATGAAAGCTGTTAATATTCTGACCTGGCCCCTTGGGGCCGCCCTGTGTTCTGAAGTAAAAGCCTCATTTTAAGGGAAAACTCCTCCCCTTCCTCCCTCTCTTCCGCTTTTCCTCCAAGTGTGCATCCTTGACATCTCTCACTTTCTCTCTGTTTCTTCTCTCCTTTCCTATCCTTCTCTTCATCTCTCTATTATAATAAAACTCTCCATGTGGATGCAGCACCTGGGTGTGAAGGACTTTCCACATGCTGCCCCCCTCCCAGAACTGCATCTGCCTCGCATATTTTCCCTCAACTCGTAGGATAACCTTGTTCTGGCCAGCTGGGGGTTCCCCACTCTTGCAAATTCATAACAAAAGCTTTCCTGCTTTGACAGTAGTTGACATTAGCAATGAGTAGTGAGGGAATCAATTTTAGATGTTCTGTAAATGTCCTGACTGACCATTTCCTGGGTTCACAGACAAGGCAATTAAGAATCTGGATAAAGAACTTTTATCTACTTAGTTACACTAAGTTCAGCCAAAATAGAAGAACTGGATAAAATGGTGTGGCCCTGCCTAACATGTCTGTGTTTTTTCAAGGTTTAAGATGCACAACTTTGGAGAAATGGTATAAGTAGTACTTAGTGTGCTCTAATACAAATCTCTGGTCTCTGGAGCACATAGCCATAAAACCTGTCTCAACTTTTTAACATAATTTTTGGGGATTATAGCTATGTCATTTCCACTATCTCTCTCCTGCCTCCAAACCCTCCCATAGACCCTTCATTGTTTTCTAATCCATGGCCTTTTTTTGCTTTAACAACAGTTACTGTTGGAATGTGATCTGTGTTTGACTGCACTGGGCATTGACTGTATAATGGAATGTGCACACAGAGGACTCTGTACCTTGTAAGAGAAACAGGAAGTGTTCTGGGAGAATGGAAGATTCTACTAAGCTACAGTTTCCTAGACTGGATCCTGTGTGACCCTAGGGTGGAAAGGCAGAACTGGGAAGGCCTTTGTTGTCTGAGTCATTTGATATCAGCTCACCCAGTATAGTAACTGCTAATGTCCTGCGACCCAGCTGGGTGGTCCTAGCTAATGAGGTACTCTGGAAGGAAGACTTAACAATCAGGAGCACCAAGGGGAGGTAGCTTCTAGGCTCTTTCAGGATTCTTCTCTGGTTCTGCTATATGAAGCTGTGAGCGAGGCCACAAGCAATGTCATAGTGAGTGTGGGGACCACTATCCCCAGTCCAGGAAGAGCAGGTTGGCTGAACTGTCAGAGTCTAAGCTGCTGGGACTGAGTTAGACCATGCTGGTTCTGTTGGTCCCTGTGTGGTAGCTGTTGACCTCTTTGCTTTGCTGAGTATGGATTCCCTGAAGAGGCTCTGCCACCATGGTATGGGAGGCTATGATGCTTATAATAATCATGGTCTAGTGTGCACACACATACATAGGCATTGCTTTTGGTTGTGTAGTGGGAAGACAGGTTGCAAAGCTGAAGACCTAGTTTCTAGAAGTTCTGAATGTTGCACTCCACTTTCAAGTTCATCTTATAATGTTACAGATAGTTTAGAAAATGGTAGGAAGTAGGTAATGGGGATCATCCTAAAGCAATACATGATTAGAATGCTTTTAACTGTCTGCTACTGTTAGCCACCATGGTGTGGATTAGTGAAGTTCAGTTCCAGGGGACAAACGGAGTTTCTGAGCTGCAGAGGTATCTCAGGTTTGCATGGTGTTGGGCAGGTGGATAGGGCTGATGCCACATCTTTTTTTTTTTTTTAAACTATTATTTTATTTTATTTTATTTTACAATACCATTCAGTTCTACATATCAGCCACGAGTTCCCCATTCTCCCCCCTCTCACACTGATGCCACATCTTGTGCCATAATCCATGTGGCAGGAAGCAGAGAACATTGATTTGTGATTGGGAATCACTGGGGCTCAGTTTGCCCAAAATAAGCTCTGGAGGAGATCACCTTCATTTGCAGAGAGAGCTCTAGAGCATGGAGCCTCTCCGTAAGAAATATCAGTAGCTGGAGGGTCAGAAAATTAACAGTTTAAGGATCACTTTGAGTTAATTTTGTAGGAGTTGTGAAGTCCCAATTATTTAATTTCTATACACATAGACTCATAGGTAGCATTGCTCAAGATCACAGTTTTCCTGGCTGGGTTTCCTTTGGTCTTTTGGTTAAAATTGACTGTATTGTCTTGGCTTTTTCTCTCTATCTCCTTCATTCTTTCACAAATACTGTACACATTCTTTTTTTCATTTTTATTTATTTACTTACTTTTCTGTTATCAGCTTGATACAGTATAAATTCTTATCCTAATAGTGAAATGTTTCATTGAGGCTTGCCCAGTAATTGAGTAAAACCAAAACTTATTATAAGCCCCCCTGCTTTATAGCCTCCCTCATTCTGTGGGTTGCAGTCTGATTGTCCTTTGCTTTATATCTAGTATC